AGTGTCTTCAAAGCACGGCGGAAGGTGCGCAGATCCAGGATCCTCCCTATCTCCGGGGGGAGCTCGTTCCAGATAGTAGGTGCCCCCACAGATAAGGCCCTCCCCCTAGGGGCCACCAGTCGACATTGTTTGGCTGACGGCACCTGGAGGAGCACCTCTCTATGAGAGCGTACCGGCCGGTGGGAGGCTGTTTGTGGTAGTAGGCGGTCCCGTAAGTAGCCAGGTCCTAAGCCATGGAGCGCTCTAAAGGTGGTAACCAAAACCTTGAAGCGCACCCGGAAGACCACCGGGAGCCAGTGCAGCTCGCGCAGGAGAGGTGTCACACGGGAGCGCCATATTGCTCCCATAACCACCCGCACGGCCACACTGTGCGCCAGTTGGAGCCTCCGGGTGCTCCTCAAGGGGAGCCCATGTAGAGAGCGTTACAATAGTCCAGGCAGGAGGTGACAAGGGCATGAGTGACTGTGTGTAGGGAGTCCCGATCCAGAAAGGGATGCAACTGGCGAATCAGGTGAACCTGATGAAAGATCCTCCCGGTCACGGCCGTCAAGTGCTCTTCTAAAGACAGCCGTGAATCCAGGAGGACGCCCAAGTTGCGAGCCCTCTCCGTGGGGGCCAGCGATTCACCCCCAATAGTCAGCGATGGCGTCAACTGACTATATTGGGACGTCGGAAACCACAGCCACTCGGTCTTGGATGGGTTGAGCCTGAGCCTGTTCCTCCCCATCCAGATCCGCACGGCCTCCAGACACCAAGACATCACTTCAAGGGCATCGTTGGGGTGGTCCGGGGTGGAGATGTACAGCTGGGTGTCATCAGCATACTGGTGGTACTTCACCCTGAAACCATGGATGATCTTGCCCAGCGGCTTTACATAAATGTTGAACAAAAGGGGCAAGAGGACCGACCCTTGTGGCATCCCACATATGAGGGGCCTCGGGGTCGACCTCTGCCCCCCTGCCAACACAGACTGCAACTGGCCGGAGAGAAAGGAGGAGAACCACCATAGTACAGTGCCTCCCACCCCTAACTCTTCCAACCGGTGCAGCATGATACCATGGTCGATGGTATCAAAAGCCGCTGAGAGGTCTAACAGGACCAGGACAAAGGAGCACCCCCTGTCCCGAGCCCTCCAGAGATCATCAACCAACGCGACCAATGCCGTTTCCATGCTGTACCCGGGCCTGAAACCCGACTGGAATGGATCCAGATACGTCGTCTCATCCAGGTGCTAGGGAAGCTGTTGCGCAACCACACTCTCGACAACCTTCGCCACAAAACGAAGGTTGGAGACAGGACGATAATTAACCAACATTGCCGGGTCCAGGGAAGGCTTCTTGAGGAGAGGCCTCACCACCACCTCTTTCAAGGCGGCGGGGAAGTCACCCTCACCCAACGAAGCATTTATAATCCCCTGGAGCCAGCCTCGCATCACCTCCCGGGAAGCCAGCACTAACCAGGAGGGACATGGGTCCAATAAACAAGTGGTCGTGTTCAGTCTGCCCAGAATCCTGTCCACGTCCTCAGGGGTCACAGGATCAAACTCATCCCAGATAACATTCTCAAGACCTGCCCCAGTCCCTCCCCCTGAGACTACCCAGTCGGAGTCCAGATCTTCCCGGATCTGAGTGATTTTGTCATACAGATACTGAACAAAATCCTCGGCTCTACCCTCCAAGGGGTCCTTCCGCACTTCCTGGTGGAGCAGGGAGCGGGTCACCCTAAACAGAGTGGCCGGGCGGTTATCTGATGACGCAATAAGAGCAGCAAAATAACTACATTTCGCTGCTTTTATCGCCAATAGGTAATTCCTCATATGGGATCTTACCAGTGTCTGGTCCGATTCAGAAAGACTGGCCCTCCAACTACTCTCTAGGCGTCTTTTCCGGCGCTTCAACTCCCTCAGCTCCTCAGTGAACCAAGGAGCCAAATGAGATCGGAGCTGGATTAGAGGCTGCAAAGGCACGACCCGATCCAGACCTCCAGCGGCCACCCTATCCCAGGCAGCCACTAGGTCTCCAGTGGAGGCATGTGCCAGAGCCTCGGGAAATGGCCCAAGCTCCATCTGGAACCTATCAGGTTCCATCAGGTGCCTGGGGCGGAACCATCTCACCGGCTCCGCCTCCCTGCGGCGGAGTGCAGCGGTTTGAAGGTCGAGACGAAGGAGAGAGTGATCTGACCATGACAAGGGCTCGGTAACTATATCCCCTATCTCAAGATCACTCAGCCACTGTCCAGAGACAAAGACCAGATCCAGCATGTTCCCCCCCCCCCCGTGTGGGTAGGGCCATGAATTAACTGGGTCAGGTCCATGGCTGTCATGGAAGCCATGAACTCCCGAGCCACCTCAGATGCCTCACCCATGGACGGCAGGTTGAAATTCCCCATGACCATAAGCCTGGGAGTATCAACCGCCACCGCGGCGATGACGTTGAGTAGCTCGGGCAGGGCTGTTGCCACGTGGCAGGGAGCCAGGTACATGATCAGCAAACCCATCTGAACTCCATGACCCCACTTCACGAGGAGGGACTCACAGCCGGCTGTCTGAGGAACCGTGGCCTCCCTCGGTCTCAGACCTTCTTTAATAATAACCGCTACTCCCCCACCCCTGCCCTGTAACCTCGGCCGATGGAATGCAAAGAAACCTGATGGAATGCAAGGAAACATCAAGCTCACCATTTCACTTCCCATGTGCCTCAACGCAATGGTTGACCATGAGTTTTAGACCCATCTTAGGCACAAAGACCAGTCACTTTCTCTCAGTCCTAGGAAGAAGACAGTGGCAAAACACACTTTCTTTTTACCAAGAAAACTGCAGGGATTTGTCCAGGAAATCTCAGAGAATTGGACACAACTGAATGAAAGGGGGAGGGGGGGAGTAATTGGCAGCTATTTTCCAGGACCTGTACGGGAAGTCTCTGAGAATCAGACACGACTGAATGAAAGATATCCACAAATGCTTAGATATGCACTATGAATCAAAAACTTTTGCCCCCTGACTTGGTTAGCTGACTTTAGGCAGTCCTTGTCTACTAGTAGTCCAAATGCACCTCCCATCTCCAACAGTTTATGAGAGACGGGGTGGGAGAGAACAGGGAAGGAATTTCAGAGCTGCCAACCTCCTTTTGAGGATACGGATGCAAAGGAAATTAGCATCTTGGCACAGCCTGAGATTAGAATACCCTGGGAGAGGTTTGGGTTTAACAGCCAAAATAAAATAATGTTTTGTGCTAATTTGCTTTCTCTCATTATTTAGTTTAGGGAACAATTGCTCCCACAGTGGTGAACATTGCTTCAGCTCCAGTTAGCTTTTGTTCATTGCTTTCTAGCATATTTTTATGTCTTTGAAATTTACTGAAACTGATGAATAACAATGCCTGCAAGCATTTTTATGTCCTTTTTTCCCTTATAGTGGGATCCAATTTCTTTGACAGACTGATTGTTGGGTCTAAAGATTCACTGAGAACTACTAGCCCAAGATTTTTACATCTCAAAGTTTCAAATATTAATAGGAATTTAGATAATTTCCAATAACATTTCTCATTACCTCTAGCAGTCATATGCTCTCTTTAAATATCGTTTGCACTTTTTACATTTCTGCAAGAAAGAAAGAAAAATCAGGATCTATCCTGGTTGATCAGCTTCACAAAGGGGTCTTAACTTTCAGCTAAGCTGATCTCTTATCATAGAACAGAGCCTATTGTCAAGTCATCTCAAATTACTGAATCAAGAATTACAAAATTGTATGTTACCATGTTAATTTGCTTAATATTCAGAATGTCTGGTGTAAATTTTATAGGTAGATATGTTACAAATTGCCCCTGCATTTTAGCAGTGCTTTCATTTTTAAAAATGTGCATATTTTCACATATACAGTAAATGTAATTAGACTAGCAATCTAATGCAATGCATATGACTGAGGAATATTTGTTGGGGCTTATTCCCAGGAAAGGATGTTCAAGACTGAAGTCTAAGACAACTTGTTCTAAAATTGTAGAGTAGAGACAAGGAATAGTTTTCAGTAAAATAGTTGGAGACATGTTCCTACTTCCAGATGCCTGGAATAAGTTTGTTCAATAGCCAGATCTGGTCACAAGTTTGATAGGCTTGGGAGACTAGCAGAAGAACTTTACAACTTCTTTACCAACTGTGAAAATAAGGGGAAATGTCAGTGAGACTTTTTGTGGCTGAATGAAAGGGCAGACGTTCTGGGCTCCTTGAGTAGGGAACATTGCAATGCATTTGGGCAAGATGACCTAATTTGAAAAGTAATACATGTCACTTCAAGAGTCACTTCAATTTGTTCCTGAAATCTCCAGAGTTTAAAATTACCTGTTTGTACAATTGAGAAGCAGTGATTCATTTTCCAATTTACTTTCAGTTGTCTGAGCATCATTGTTTCCAGTCTTATATACTAGTATATATACACACAAACTATTCTCTGTTTTCAAAGAAAGAAAATGACAAATTCACATGCCTTGGCACGAATGGGCTCAAACACAAGGGAAGTAGAGGAGCCCTGATGTGCAAATAGTAGCTCCAACTTACTAATATTTAGTTTGATCCTGGCATCTCCCATCTGGACCCTAACAGGCTCCAGAGACTTAATGCGCCATGTGCACAATCTTTTCATGAATATCAGGTCATGAAGTTCAGATTTCCCACATCCATGATACCTTCTTAATCATAATATAATAAGTGCCACTATTCAAAATATTTACCATATCCTTCCAAAACAGAAAGCACCAAAGAAATTGGAACATTATCAGACTGATTCTTATATTTGCTTATAAAGAAAAAATACTCAAGAAAAGTCATGGAAATTTTAGAATGCTGATCTCGTTTTATTTGCGGAATTACTCTCACTGAAACATTGATAAATAGTTTGAGCAAATATAACCTGGTAAATATTAAAAAAGAACTATTAGCTTCATTTGTGTAATGCTTTTCAAAATCTGATAGAATCATGTTAGAAGATAAATGAGGTACACAATAAAGAGAACCCAGATTATAATTTATTCACAACCCCTCTTTATACAAGAGCTCCTTTTTGAAGGCAGGAGACAAATCAGGGGTGGGTTCTACTTACCTTTACTACTGGCTTGCAACGGGGTGCATATGCAAGTGCAGAAGCTTCTGCGTATGCGCAGAAGCATTTTGATGGCGTCAGGGTCAGTGGGCAGAGCCTCCCGCCGGTTTTACTGCCGGTTCTATAGAACTGATACGAACCGGGGGCAACCCACCACTGGGACAAATGTAGAAAACTTCTTTGAACATTAAACTCCACAGTAGAAACTCTGGTCTGGAATTTGTAGACGATCCAAGTAAGATCTTATCTGGTTATAGATATAGAAAGTAAACCGTAAACAGCAGGCTATTTCTAGAGCCTTCCCTCTTCAAATTATGATTGGGTTTTCTGTGATGCAAAGTGCTTGGGCTTTCTTTAGTGTTATTTTATTATTTAATTAATAATTGATTTGATGTATATGGTTGTCCATCTCAAGTCTTTGAAGACATTTCATTTCTCATCCAAGAAGCTCATCATAGCTAAGAAGCTTCTTGGATGAGGAGTGAAATGTCTTCAAAGAAAAACCAGAAAGTCCAGTTGCCTGCCTATTTATTTATTTATTTATTTATTTATTTATTTATTTATTTATTTATTTATTGTTTATATTTATATACCGCCCTTCTCCCAAAGGACTCGGGGTGGTGAACAGCCAACAGATAAAACACAAAAAGTACAAAATTTAAAAAATCCAATTTAAAATCCAATTAAATTAATTTAATTTAATTAATTGGATTAATTAATCCAATTAATGAATCAATTAATTCAATTAATTAATTGAAAAAGCACCTTTAGTAAAGAACTGATTACTTTAGTTCTCAGTAATTAGCCATCATTCCCAAACAGGCTCCAATGATATTAGGGGCCCCTCGAAAACCAACTTTTCACCAACCCAGTCTTGGTGCCCTATCTATATATTCCCATCATAAAGCTTCTACAATTCTTCTACTACAAAAATAACTGTTAGCTCACCTGTGCTTGCACAGGTATGCAAGAGCTGCCTGGTAGCAGGGGCATCTACAAAGAGTAGGGTGAGAGTTAAAAAGTCAGGATGATGGCTGCAAGCACAAATGGAGTCACACCCACTTTATACATACAGCACAATGCATTTTAAAAAGACCTGGGCTTTGACCAGATGCGTGTAGCTGCTATCTTGACTTTTTGACCATTCCTTACAGTTAAGGGATGCTTAGTAAGCTGTTTGTTTCATGCCCCTTTCTGGATTCTTGGTTTTTCTTCCTCTCTGCTGAAGCTATAGTATTTCACCACCATTTCACTGATATTTTAGGTTAACCAGGAAGTAAGCCTTCTTCTCTCTCTGAAAACAAACATAATGAGGTACAAATGAGAACTAGGACAGGGTGTAGGCAGGATGCCAACTTTTGTCATCCTTTACTGTGAGCTGATTTGAAGTTCTTTGCAGCAAAGGGAAAGTGACAAAAATTATTCTGAACTTGGGAGGATAAACAAAAAGGGAGAGTGGAAAAGACCATTGTTTCTGTAATGAATCCAACAATTGTTGATTGAACAGTATATATATTACATGGAGTTCATCTGTTATTACTTTCTTACATAGGGTGACCAGTTCTGGGATGCAAACATCTACCTGACCAATAAAAGGTAGCAAAGATAGGTTTCTTAGTCTTTGCTCCCGTCTATGGTCTTCTGAGATTTTGCAGCCCAGATCTGTTTTAACCTTATACTAAGCCATAGTTTACTGAACAAGCCACACTGGCCAGGGTTGACATCATACAGACAGGGGTGTCAAACTGGCGGCCCATGGGCCCGATGTGTCATGTACAGGCCACTCCCACCCCAGCTCCGTGAACGTCTTGAAACATCACATGATGGCAACGTGACACAGTGAGTTTGTCACCTGTGTCATACATAAAACGATAATTTTATTGGCTTGGCTTCAGTTTAGCATATTGGGACACAGCTATCATGGTTTGAAAATTGTGATACATGGCTAAGTATGATTTTGAAGGAAGTTCTCTAAAAAGCCAAGGTCATGCAAGCTATCAGCTACTGCAGTATGTGGAGTCAACTACTGATTGAGCATACACAGCTGTGATGGTATGTGGGAATGACCTTGGGAAACAAAAGGAAGACTTGCAGTCATAGCAACAGTCTGATAAGAGGCAGATCGGTAGTTTCAGTCTCTCAAGAGTCTGTTTAATGTAACCTTACAATAATGATAGTGCTGATGCTCCTGATTGTGCTTCTTGCCTGGACTACCTCAAAGAGCTAATATCAGTCTTGCAAGATTGGAAGTATCCCCCCACTTTTTCTGTTTTTCATCTCTGGAAAACTAGGGAGAGTCCTTTTGAAACTCTTCCCATGCTTTCCCACCACCTGTGGACTGAACTGCCTCTTGTCAGATTGTTGCCTTGGTTGCAGGTCTTCCTCCAGTCTCCCAAAGTCCTTCCAACATTTTATCACAACAACAACAATAACAACACAGCCATATTATAGGACAGAGGAACATGTGAGCCTTGTTCATTGCCATTTTAATAGAGTTCGCACCGCTTTAAAGGAGACACACTTTCCATAGATGCCATATGAGTTTTCTCCGGTTGTCTCCACATATATATGCATATATAGAGCTATTTTGCTTCATCAGCAGTCTTAGTGTAATTTATACATTTCCATCCATTCCCAGATAAACTGGAAAAGCCCTAAGCAGAGTGTTGAGTCTTGGGAGGATGCGGATGTCTCAAAGCTTCAAGGAGTTTGCTTGAGCCAGCACCTCTTTCAATGTTTTGCCCAGTTGAAATTCGTAAGCAGTAGTTTTTGCCTTGGGTACTGTGTAAGGTACAAATCATCATCACCAAAGAGTGTCAAACTTAATGGCATAGACTATTATGTGAATGCAGCTATTGAGTGTACTCTCCCCTGCGTCTTATTAATATTTTGTTCTACTTTCCCCAATTCTACATTAGCATGCATATTAGAGACATTAAGGAAACAAACCAGTTCAGAATGAAACTTCCCATAGCCCACAATGTTTCACCTTTTAGTAGTATATTCTACCTAGGAATTAGAATAGAATAGAATAGAATAGAATAGAATAGAATAGAATAGAATAGAATATTTGGCCAAGTGTGATAAGATACACAAGAAATTTGTCTCTGGTGCAGAAGCTCTCAGTGTACGTACAAAGCAACAGAAAATGTCATGATTGAGTTGCCAAAATTATACATTGGAAGCTTTGGCAGAAGTTTGGACGCAGCAAAAATTACTGGGAACGACCAAATTGATGAAGTTCTTAAAAATGAATAGGTCAAGATCTTATGGGACTTTCAAATCTAAACAAACAGAATTCTTGGCCACAACATGTCTGAAATCACTATTGTGGAAAAGAAAAAAGTCTGGTTCATTGATATTGCAATACCACGTGATGCATGAATTGAAGAGAAGCAACTAGAAAAAATAACAAAAATACCACAATCTGCAAATTGAAGTTGAGCGATTGTGCAGGAAGAAACCAATGATTGTACCAATAGTAATAGGAGCCCTTGGAGCAATACCCAAAGAGTTGCCTAGATACATGGAAACTTATTTGAATTTATTAGACCTGAATATTCTGACTTTGCAAAAAAAAAACCCACCTCATTTGGAACTGCCTATATACTCATACGTTACCATAACAGCTCTTAGATTCTTGGTTAGGACTTGAATTGTATAGTTTTTACCAGTCCCTGTGGATTGAATTGAAGATTAAATTAATAATAATAACAACAACAATAACAACAACAATATCAATAAGAGGGTATAGTAAAGAAGACAATAAGAAAGATAAATAACAATACTGCAACCCTATTACATGGGTAAATATACATAGACATTAGATAACACTGAGAATTAGGTGTTCAGTAATGGCATGAGGGAAAAAACTGTCACTGTGTCTAGTTATTTTGGCATGCAATGCCCTATAGCCGTGATGGCGAACCTATGGCACGCGTGCCACAGGTGGCACGCGGAGCCATATTGGTGAGCACGCGAGTGTTGCCTAGCTCAGCTTCAGCATGCATGCACGTGCCAGCCAGCTGATTTTCAGGCCTTCCAGGCCCGCCGGAAGTTGGGAAATAGGCTGTTTCCAGCCTCTGGGGGCGTGGGGAAGGCTGTTTTTGTCCTCCCTAGGCTCCAAGAAAGCCTCTGGAGCCTAGGGAGGTTGAAAAAAAGGCCTACCGAGTCCACTGGGCCATTACATATTAAAACTGGGGGGAGTGCAGAGGGGTCACGTGCGTGGGGGCAGGACACATTGAATTATGGGTGTGGGCACGCACGTACACAGCCCCTCTGTGCTCCCCCCACTTTTGGCACACAACGGCAAAAAGGTTAGCCATCACTGCCCTATAGCACTGTCCCGAGGGAGGTTTATGTCCAGGATGTGAGGGATATGTATAAATCTTCTCAACTCTCTTTCTGACCCGCGCAATATACAGATCTTCTAGGGAAGGCAGGCTTCTTGCAATTGCTTGTGCCTGTTGTTAAAAAAATAGTCTGCTCTGAATTTCTGTTTAAAGAGAAAAACAGGTTTAAATTCAAAGAATGCAGCAGAATAAACTATATGCGCTTGAAGCCAATTTAACTTATTTGCTGAATTTTCCAACTTGGCACTTAGATTTGTGCATGAAGTACAATGATGCTGTAATGCTGTCCTAGAAAACAAAACATTATAGATGATAGGAAATCTTCAGTTTATGTTCAGAAACTGTCTTGCTTCATGTTCAAAACAAATATAGAAATGAACTTAAAATAGTCTTCAGGAAAAGTTTTTTTTTTTAAAAAAATCTGCCAGTAAATGTGTTTATGTTCCAGAGCTTTACAAAGCTGAGGAGGATTTGATTAAATGTTAGTGAAGGATAGGGAACATAAATATAGCAATGAGAAAGCTTTGATTGGAAGGGGAGAAGATACTGATCTAGGGAGTTGAGAAATTAATGTTTTAAATATGAAATTTTTAGGAGTTATTTCTTATTTCTATCATGTAATGGGAAAGAAATGAATGGTTCATCACTATATTTAACTACCACGTTCTTGTATTGTTTTTACAAAAATTCAAAATCAAGAATAAGCCCTTTAAATCATCAGGCATGTGATAACATTGTTCGGAAGAGTTGACTAATTGAGCTAAACTCCTGGAACTAGAGGTATTCCAATCAGATCAAGAAAACTCTTTTTCCAATGTTAAGATGCAGTGAGATGATAATGATGATGCAGTTAAATCCTAGTAAGATAGTGTACTAGTCAACATTCTGCCAAGGTTCCTTCTGTAGTAGCTGATTCAGGTGTTTGTACAATAAAACTGTTATGTGCAATATTCAAAGCAGTCAATTATTTTTAGGTAAATTTAACTCTCTGAACATCGTCCGCTAGGAAATTCTGCATGTTGGACTACCATAACACACTCTATAGAGACAAACGGAAAATTGCAGCTCCTACATAAAGTAACAGCAAGATGATTGGCAGGAGAAACCTGCCATATAAAATTACTAAAATTACTAAAATTACTAAAATTATATAAAATTAATAAAATATATTAAGGTCCAGCAGGCTTTCAGGCCCAGTTCAAAATGCTGATAGTTAAACCCTATACAGTACAGCATCAGGATATATCAGGTCACATACCTTGTCAGAGTGGAATCTGCCTGGCCAGTCTAGTCATTAAGAGAGGACCTGCTAGAAATGTCCTCTCTTAAGGATAGCAATAGCACTTACTTACCATATATACCACTTCAAAGTGCTTTACAGCCGCCTCTAAACGGTTTACAGAGTTAGCATATTGCCCCCAACGCTCTGGGTCCTCATTTTACTAATCTCAGAAGGATGGAAAGTTGATCCTGAGCCGGTTAGGATCAAACTCCTGGCAGTGGGCAGAGTCAGTCTGCAATACTGCATTCTAACCACTGCACCACACACGGCTCTACACAGAGGTATACAGGATATTTTCAACCCTTCAAGTAGTCCACATGAGAAGTACAAACCATGAGTACCAATGCTACCTTTATTGTAAAATGAAAGTCATAAGATCTTGCAAGTCTGAAAGCACTTCTCCTCTTTACTTTTACTTTCCAGAAAACTGGGGAGGGTCCTTTCTGAGATTCTTCCTACGTCTGTTTTTCCTTTTGGAGCTGAGGTACCTTTTGCACTATGGTTGTCCAGACTGCAGCTATTCTTCATATATCCCCAAATCATTTCCACACACCATTATAGATATGAGCTAGAAAACAGGCCTTCTTTGGGGCAGTCCTGCCTCATAGAACTCCCCCCACAAAGCACCTGCAGCAGTGGTGGGTTGCTACCGGT